TCTGGTAGAAAAACTGATCACATGTATTTTCAAAGGATGTCACCACCTCTCCGTGTCCCAGCCAGAGGCAGCTCGCCCAGACCTGCAGCAGCAGCAGCCACAGCATGGTGGGAGGATTTCAGGTGAAGGGCTCTTGCTCCCCTGGAAGGCAAATGTAGAGGGAAACTCAGCTTGGAGAGAGCTGACCACAGCCTGGAGTCATTTCTTTGCTGGTGGGACACAGCTGGCTGATGAGGGGACTATGAGAGACCAAGAAGAGGGTAATGTCTGACCTCCTGGATATGGAAAATCACCGGGGCAAGAAGGGTGAACTCTAAAATAGGGTTAAGGTGACTACAGAAAGCAGCAGTGGGAGAATTCATCTTTTCCAAGGAGGGATCCAAACCCACCTATGTGCAATCAGCTCTCACAGTAAAGTTATCTGACTCTGAGGACCTGAGGCACAACAGTGGGACAAGGTCACCTTTACCAAACTACCTGAGTTGGACCGTGAAAGGCACTGTTGCAGGAATTTCTATTTCTATTTCTTCAACAAAAACAAGTCGTCTTTTGCCCACCATTTTAAAGAAGGCAGGCAGGAAAGGCAGATGGAAGGATTCCTGGGACAGAAAGCTGCCACAGCCCACCTCACACTGCAAAAGGGTCTGGGCTGAAGGCTGCAGAAGACTTGACAAGGCACCTTGCACATTTGCTCTCTCCTGACCTTTTGCCCTGACCTTTATCTCTTCATATCCAATCGATTCAGGATATAGACCTACACACACCCTTGCTCTTACCCAAGACATCTGGTCCTCTCTCTTTACCAGCCCTTGAACAGGGACATGGGGATAAGTGAGGAGGAAACTCAGAATATGAGCCACAAGCTGTTGCTTTTTATAGTGCTCCGCAGAGCAGGACTGTCTCTGCCCCAAATCAAGCAGAGGAGTTCCTGAACACTCCTTTTAATTCATCCCCTCTTATGAGCTTCAAATATATTTCACTTACTCAATATCACACATATAGAAATCAACTTACCATGGGAAAGATTGGCTCAGCACTCTGCTCACAGCCCTAGAGTGGCAGAGGACTTTGAAATGTCTCTGCTGCAGTCTGAGACTGGCTGTTTATATATGATCCCAGGAAGGGGATGAGTTGTAAGATTTCCCCAAACAGGGTTTCAGACTAAGTTTGCCTAGGAGTGCAGCCAGCACCTGTGTTTGTCCAGAGGTTTTCTGCAAGCTCATGGATGGAGTTTAGGTACTCAATAAGCTCTGCACCACACCTCCCCCCTCTGATTCTTATTCAACACTATGGTGTGAATTTTCCAGGTGATTTGGCTAGAATTTCTCTCCCAAATCAATCCTTCTCTCCTTGCCCTTCTTAATACAAAAAGGAAAAGAGCTGCACAATTCAGTGCATGCATAAACTCTCATTTCTCCGTGGAAGGCAGATGTTGGAGATCAGCAACTCCAGCCTACGCTTTGTCTGATCTATTTATTCCAAAACTAAGGAAACACTTGAAATATTGGAGTCAATGTTGAGGAAGGAGCAAGAGCTTACCTTGAAGCAGAGTGTCAGAACAGGCAGCTGAGCCGCTCCTTGCCTCTTCTCCCTGGAGAAACAGCTGACCGATCCCTCAGGAGCCCCATTGCAATATATACCCAGTTGTACATCTGCCCCTTTTGATAAATAGGGAATTCCACAGAAAAGAGAAGTTTTCTATTTTTATTCAAGGAAGATTTGTTTCTGCCTTCCATGGGGTAACAGTTGCTATTTGTAGTTTCCTCTGAACTTCTCCCAAATTTGCTGACTTGCACATGTCAGGAGCGGTTAACTGGATCTAAAGGACATTTGGGAGTGCTCTATTGTTTGTGGAGGTCTCTATTTGTGGTGGATCCTTCTGAAGCAAGCCTGAGGCTCAGAGGCAACTGCCCATGGATGGAGATCACCCCCTTCTGACTGGACTGACACTGACGCTCCTCAGTTTTCACTGCCTGAAATATCCCTCAAGAAATTCCCCAGTGTTCACCAAACCCTCTCATCACTCAGTGCCTGGGACAAGGCTTTTTCCCTGGATCATCCCCCCCAGTTCTGAGTTCTCCTCACTTCTCTCATGTCACTTACAAAGACTCTTTGATTCTTTACTGGGAGCAATTAAGCTCTATCAGGGATGCAAAACAGCTCAGGGCAAAGTGGAGATCACAGCCCAGCAAGAGTGTTCCTCCCCCAAATTTAGCTGCTGTTGGATGCCTTTTCCCCATCACTGGGTCTCCCAGCACAGCAGGGCACAGAGAGGGAGGTCATTTGACTTTGGAATGGAATGGAATATAATTTGACATGATGTTGCTCTCAGGTCATTGCAGAAAACTGGGCACCTTTGGGATAGGACTCCTCCTCCTGCTGATGTTTGAAATGCATCAGAGGGTCCATGTGGTGCAGGTGTTTGAAGTAAGATGAGATGAATCCCACGCAGTGGGTCCATTTGCAGGTGTTTGTAGTGGAGTAGGAGGAAATAGAGATGTTTGGTTAAATGCTGCAGTTCATCTTTTACTGACAGGAGGGTGCCATGTTGTAAGGGAGGACACTCACCTGGGGCCAGGCCGGTAGGTGTAATCCGAGTACACGGGATTATGCCTGTTTCTGTCATACAGGGTGGCATAGAAACGCTGGTTTTGGAAGGTCTGGCAGATCCAGGCTGGGTCCTGTAGCTCCAGGCCCTTTGTTGCTAGGGTGCTCTGGTAGGAAAAGTGAGGACATGACCTCTCACAGGATGGCACTACCTCGCCCTGTCCCAGCCAGAGGCAGCTCGCCCAGACCTGCAGCAGCAGCAGCCACAGCATCATGGGAGGATTTCAGGTGAAAGGCTCTTGTTCTTCTGGAAGGCAAATGCAGAGGGACACTGAACCTGGTCATGAGCAGATCATGGCCTGGAGTCGGTGAGAGTTGTAAGATTTCCCAAAGAGGGTTTAGAGTAAGTTTCTCCAGGAGTGCAGCCAGTCAGTGTGTTTTTCCAGAGGTCTTCTGAGAAGTCATGGATGTAGTTTTGGTACTCAGTAACCTTCCCCTGCCTTCTTATTCAACAGTTTGCTGTGAATTTTCCAGGTGACTTGACTTGAATTTCTCTCCTAAATTGTTCCTTCTGTCCTTGCTGTCCTTTACACAAGAAGTTAAAGAGCTGCAAAATTCAGTTTGTAAATCTGCCCCTTTCAATAAACAGAAAATTCCACAGAAAAAAGAAGTTTTCCACTTTTATTCAAGGGAGATTTGTTCATGCCTGCCCAAAAGCAGGGTGACAGTTACTATTTGTAGTTTCCTCAGAATTTCTCCCAAATTTGCTGACTTGCAGAGTCCCACGCCAGGAGCAGTTAACTGGGTCTGGTGACTTCCCTGTCCATTTCCTCATTCCCCATGGGCCCTGGCCGCTGCTGTTTCAGCACCTGCACACGTTCCTGTTCCCAGCAGAACATCCCTGGTGGCATTAGACCAACTGGCCTGCCTCTGAGTACACTCAGATGTTCACAATCTGCTCTTCTGCAGCCTCTCAGAATATAGTTACTACGGTCAGGCTACATATTTTTCCTTGATGGATTTCCAAGGCTTTGTAAGAGCCCTTATTCATGCCACCAGCCTGGGAAAGAGAATGCTCTGCAGAGACCTTAGGGTAGCTCCTTTCGATATATGAAGATTTTACAAGAGAGCTGGAAAGGAACTTTTGACATGGGCATGGAGGGACAGGACAACAGGGAATGGCTTTAGTCTGACAGATGGCAGAGTTAGATTAGATATTTGGAATAAAATCTCCATTGTCAGGGTGTTGAGGCATTAGAATGGGTTTCCCAGAGAAGTTATGGATACCCCATCCCTGGAAGTGTTCAGGGCCAGGGTGGATGGGTCTATGAGCAAAGAGGTCTAGTGAAAGGTGTCCTTGCCCATGGAAATAGGGCTTGGATTGGGATGATCTTTCAGGTCGCTTCCAACACAAACCAGTCTGTGATCCCATGATTCATCCTATAGACCCCAAGGGCACATCTCAGTCTCTGTTTGCCACTGTACAGCTGCTGAGTCTGTGTTCAAACAGGATCCCAATCAGCCCAAAAACAACGTTTGATGGAGACAATTTTCTCCCCTTAGGAATGGCCAAACAGCCAGTGGTTCCAGAGCCTGGAAAGCGAGGGCAGTGGGGCATGGGATGAACAGTGACAAGGATGAGTGTGGTTTTAAGACTCAGCAGGAGTGAAGAGATGAGGGAGTGAGACAGAGGGAGCCCCATGAGGTACAGCAGAGGTGTCTGCAGAGGTGCCTCAGCCTGAACTAGCACCATGAGTGGGCTGTGTCAGCATTCGATCCCAGGAGAAAAAACCCATGGGGGTAGGGACCTGGGGCACAGGGGCTGTCCAACAAAGGGGGGTGTGAGTGATGGTCCTACTTTGTCCTCCTAAACATCAAAATATTCTCTTACCTCTCTAAGCTCTCCAGTTGGCACAAATGAGTGCTACTGCTGCTCTCACCCTGGCAATGGAGACAACAGGAGCACAAGTCCCTGGTGCTACTGGGCACTGCCCAGTGTCTGTGCTGGGATCTGGTTCCCTGTGCTCAGGTGTCCAGAGCCCCTGGGGAACCTGCCTGGCCTCTGGCTGATGACCCGGATGGGTTTGGTGTTCCCCAGGATTCTGCAGCACATCAGCCCCACCAGGGCTCTCACACACCTCAGAGCACTTCAAGGGCCCAGGGTACATCTGTTTATGGAGCTGAGCCAGGCCTGGATCTCTGGTGGCTGGGATCAGAGCTGGGACACCCACTACATCTGGAGACATCTGCATGTTGCTGCCTGACTCTGCACCTCAACCCCACCCAGTGTTTCAGTGCAACCCCCAAAGAGGCTGATCCAGGGTGAGGAATGAGACCCTGTAGGATGATGAACAACAGCTGCTGAGCTGAGAAGTTCAGGCTCAAGCTGGTACCCCTGGAAGTGACACAGCTTGTATGAGCTGTTTGCAGCCTGATCTACTTTGTTCATGCCCATTCCTCAGAGAGGTAACTGCAGTCTGATGGGGACACTTTAGGACATGCTATGGCATCTTTAGATTGGATTTGGACACCCCTTTTGCTGCAAGGATGCTCTGGGGACTGTGACATCACTAGGGGATTGGAATTTCAGCAAGAAGCAACTTGTGGTTTATATATAAGATGACCAGCACTGGAGCAAATAATTTTTATTTGAACTACTCAGGAACTGTGTGATCTGGCACACACTGACCTTTTGATTGACACATCGAATACATTGATTCCATTGAATACACTGAATACACTGAATACATGTCACAAGATCATTTAGCCATAAATCTGCAGAAAAGGTTTCAGAAGCAGAGCAGAGAATGAAGTTATCCAAGCAGTTTATTGCAGAAATTTATCTCTGACTGGTCAAAGCTTCCTTTATATCTGATGCCTGAGCCTGCCTATCTCATAGCTCAGCTCATGCTTGCAAGGGGAAGGTTGCAAAAGCAAGCAAATAAATCCTGCTAGCAAATTTACATAAACACACTCTGTTTAAGCTGGGTATTAAGAAGCCTACTGATAAGATGTAATTATTTTCTTCCTTCTCCATGTTTAATTTGTTTACACACCTCAGAACGGCTGGGCTGCTCCTCCTACATTCCACCGTATTTGTTCTTCCCACCTTTGTCCCTATATATATCCTTTGGTGCTGTTATCATCTCTGTTGGTCGGGATGTATTTGTGGGATGATCCTTAAAGCCTCTTGTCAATGCTTGGCCTCTCTGCTTTCCTTATCCCAGGGTCACAGAACCACTGAATTGTTGAGTTATATCCCAGAACTCCGCCTGAAGCCTCCCAGGCTGCACTGGGCAGAGAGCGATGCCTCCCCCTGCAGCCGCTTTTCCTTCTCCCTGTCTCGCTCAGACAGCAACGCCCCTGCCTGACACCCACACTCCCTTTCACTGACCAGCAAGCAGCCCCTGTGCCTGCAGCCTCTTCTCATGCTCAGCAACAAGAAACACCTCTGCCTGAAGTCTCATTTCCTCACCGAGCTTGGCAAGGAACACCTCCACGAGAAGCACCTGCAGCACCTTCAGCCTGCTCCCCCCTTTTCACAATCACACTCAGCATCAAGCAACATTATCTCCCAAAGCCTGCTTTCCCTCTCCTCATTGACGTGATCCTGCAGTCCTTCCGCCAAATCCTGCAGAGATCCAGTCATTTCTTCCTCTGCCCGTTTGGTGGCATACTTTTCCTTTTGGGCAGCTGTTAAAGCTGCTCCCAATATTGCGCATAAATCCGCTTTACCTTTCTCCTTTCGTACCTTTTGTTCACTTAACATCACATTTATCCATTTAACCACAGCCTCAGGGCTGTACCAGTTTCCACCGGCCCATTCCATGCCTGGGGAAGTCAGACAGGCCATATATTCTCTCAATTTTTACAAAATCAGGGAGCAGTCAAGCACTGACGTTTTCCAGACAGTCTTGGCTTGCAGCTGCTCCAATCCCTCCTGGCTTTTAAAAGCCAATGGATCACTTCCCAACCCTCCCGGCCCAGAATTCATGGGTAAAGCGATGGAATCCTGCATGAACCCCTTCAACCACAGAATCCTGCCCATGATGCCAAAAATGTGAGGTTCCACCTGTAGCAGGATGCTCTACCTGGAATGGGATAAAACAGCTTGAACAACGGCCTCTTTGCCAAGCTCCCAAGCGGTGAACGGAGAAGAAGGAGTCACGCTGCTCTTGCTGTTGAGTAATGCAGAAACCAGCTGGATTCATCAATCCCTGAGTTAAACATCCTGAGACTGAGATGAAGATGGCAAAGTACTCAATAAAGGAACAAGCAAGTGATACTACTAAAATATTATCTAAACCTGCTGAGCTGACACAGCTGGTCTGGAGACATCTGACAATCAGTTCATCATTTTACACTGTAAAAACCCAGTCCCACTTCTTAATGGCAGGGTCTTCTAACAGCCCTTCTTGGAGAGTGTGTGTGCGGAGATTCCTCCCTTGAGTGGGGACATCCCTCAAGGTCGCTCCTTGAGGCTGAGTAGAAGAGATTTGCCCAAGGTCATCGGTATGGTAACATCAATCTCTACTTAATAATTTACTAGCTTTTACTAGCTTTAATGTAACTGCTTTAATATAATTACTTCAATAGTGCTCCCTAGTGCACTATGTTATACTAGTAGTTGTAGCTTCTGTACTGCATGGTAAGTAATTCTGATTAAGATCCTTTTGTTTAATCTTTATCATAATAAATAATTTCTATTTATGTAAACCTGTCTGGTTTGCCATCCTCAATCCTGTGGGACAAACTTGTGTGAGGGTTCAATTACACCTCTATAAAATCCTTTAGACCTAAACCATTGAAAAAAAAATCTGGTGCTAAGATTGGACTCCTTTCTGAGAAGTTTAGAAAGGAAGTGGGTCCTTTCTGCACCTCATGACTCAACGGAAGGGCTTCCCTAATAGACTTTGTCTGAAGCTACCATTCTGGCCACAACACAGCCCTTAAGGGAAAGGGAACACTGAAGATTCACAAATGCTTGTGGTGGAAAGAAACTACAAAAGTCAGAGAGTTCTCAAAAACTCACAACATTTTATTAGTTAATTACACACTTGGCATAGAATTTGGTATGTTAGTCCCTGACCTATTACATAAGCACATGGCAGTGGGTACCTTTATATAGAAAAGTTTCCCTGCACTGAAGACAGGTTTCTTGCTTCCTGTGCAAATTGGTTTTCGTGCACAGTCTGTTCCGTCAGACCTTTCTGGAAATGGGTCAGAGGGTTTTAGGGGGTCTTGAGTTGTTTTGGTCACCACCTACAGCCCATGCACAGGACATTTGTCCCCTTCTACTATGCTCTGGTGAGAGCCCATCTGCAGTGCTGCATCCAGCTCTGGGGCCCACAAGACATGAAGGACACAAACCTGTTGGAGTGGAAACCAGAGGAGGCCACAAAGACGCTCCAAGGGTTGAAACACCTCTACTCTGGAGCCAGGGCGAGAGAGCTGGGGGTGTTCACCTGGAGAAGAGTCTGAAGAGAACTTAGGTCGCATTCCAGTACCTAGAGTGTTGTCAAAGAGAGCTGCAGAGGGACATTGGAGAAGGGCATGGAGTGATATGCCCTTGGAATGGCTTTAAACTGGCAGGCGTCAGGGTCAGATCAGATATTAGAAAGAAATAATTGGCTGTGAGGATGGTGATGCACTAGCACAGTTCACCCAGAGAAGCTGTCTGACCCACCCCTGGAAGCGTTCAAGGCCAGATTGGACAGGGACTTGTGCAACCTGGTGTAGTGAAAGGCCTCCATGGCAGGGGTGTTGAAACTAGAGAGATGATCTTTAAGGTTCCTTCCAACCCAAATTATTCTGTGATTCTCTGACGTGGGGTGAAAGCTCCTGAGCCTTTTACACCCAGGATGTGAGGCCTATTCCCGGGGACAATCACTGTCAAACAGAGAAACCCGTCCCCTCCCATAGAGCTGAGTCAATGTGTCCTCCAGCTCCCCCAGCGTGAGGAGCTGGACCTGGTTCTCGTCGTTCTCGGCAATGACCGCCCAAGCCTTCCTGTGGTTGTTGTCCACCACGCAGCAGGCACTCGACCAGAGGTAGCTGGGCTTATTAACCCTTCCCTTGGCGATGTAGTTGTTCCCAGGCACAGCTCCCACGATGACGTAGGTGATGTTACAGCCCTGGGTATTCCTGATCATGGTTTGCTGCTCGTAGTTGTTCCAGGCGCCGCCGTTGAGTTTCTCATCCTGGGGCACTATGTTGGTGAGGGTGAAGGTAGCCATCCTGCTGCTGTAGTCGAGGTGATGGCCATTGGGGTTCAAATGGCCACGGTTCAAACCCGTCAGGTTCTTGTAGTCTTGGAGAATAGCCTGGCTCTCACTGATTTTCTCTAAGCTGACATTGTAATGCTTCATGAGCGTCCACTCTTTCTCCATAGTTTTGGGGTAAGTTGGGCCCATCAGCTAGACAGGTAAAGAAGAGGAAAAGGTGTTACTGCTGGGGAGGGGAGTAATGGAGCAGGTTTCCCTGGAGCAGAGGTCTCCACGTGTCAAGAACATGTTTTTTGTCATCTCAGTGTATGTAAATGTATAATTCCAGAGAAATCCTATAGCTGCCCCTCCTGGAGGAACACAAGAGCTTTAAGGCAAAAGGCACTCAGAGTCTGACTGCTCTCTTTTTGACTTGTGACCTCTGTGATCCAGCCTGCAGCCTGTGCTGGGAGTGTGGCTGGATACATGAGACAATGAGCATTTTCGTCTTCCAGTTTTGAAAGGTGACTTTGGTAAGACATGTTCTCTGTCACACCTTGTTCCCTTTTCACCTGTCTCCCCATCCCACATCCGCCCAGGCATCTTCTCATTTCCTCTAACTCCCACTAATCACATCCAACCTTAATCCCCTGCATTTAATCACAATGTCACCTGCCTTGACCTTTTCTGCATTCAGCACCATTTTCACAACAATTCTCTCGCTCCCTATGAAAGATTTTCATGTTTTTTTTAAACCAATCTGTCCGCACATAAGTGCTTTCCAAGTTTAGGAAAAGCAAGAACTCACAAATCCTCTTTGAAGGTTGGGTGTCGTGAAGGTGGACAAGATGGGAAGAGGATGAGCAGAAAAGCTGTGGTGCTCCTAGAACTTCCAGGAGGAGATAAGGACTCAGCCCCATCTTCTCCTTTCCTTCTCTACCCTTTCCTTGGGAAGAAGTGTGACTATTTTACCAGGGCATTGGGTGAGAGGACAAGGGCAAATGGCATTAAACTGACAGAGGAAAGGGTTAGGTTAGGTATTAGGAAGAAAATTTTCCCTGTGAGGGTGGTGAGGCACTGGAACCTTTTGACCAGAGAAGCTGTGGATGCCTCATCCTTGGAAGTGTTCAAGGCCAGGTTGGATGAGGCTTGGAGCAACCAGGTCTAGTGGAAGGTGGCCCTGCCCATGCAGAGAGGTTGGAATGAGATGATCTTTAGGGTCTCTTCAAACCCAAACCATTCTATGAGTCTGTGATTGTATGCTTTTACCCCTACTAAATGTAGAGGGTGCAGTGGTGCAATACTATGTTAGTTGCTCAAGTTCCTATGAGTAACAAGTGAAAATGTTCTTTTATTTCATAACTACAGCACATTTCTTTTCATTTTTAGGGAAACATTTTGAGCCTTCCTCTGGAACAGGGCATGGGGCTTTCTTCTGTTGCACATTTTGACCTAAAACCCGTCTGCTACTGCATCCTTAGCAATACCCTGAATTTCCTCTCTTTCTTTTCTGTAATTTCCTTAGTCTATTTTACTGAAGGTCTGAAGTTTGTACAAAGGAGATTTGGGAGGACTCTATTGTTTGTGGAGGTTCGTATTTCTGATGGATTCTTCTGAACCAAGCCTGAGGCATCAGTGCTCAGGGGCAACTACCCATGGATGGAGATCATCCCCTTCTGACTGGACTGACACTGATGCTCCTCACTTTTCACTGCCTGAAATATCCCTCAAGAAACTCCCCAGTGTTCACCAAACCTTCTCATCACTCAGTGCCTGGGACAAGGCTTTTTCCCTGGCTCGTTCCACCCAATTTTGAGTTTCTTCTCACTTCTCTCCTATCACTTACAAAGCCCATTTGACTCCTAACTGGGAGCAATTGAGCTCTGTCAAGGACGCAAAACAGCTCAGGGCAAAGTGGAGATCCCAGCCCAGCAGGACTGTTCCTCCCCCAAATTTAGCTGCTGTTGGATGCCTTTTCCCCATCACTGGGTCTCCCAGCACAGCAGGGCACAGAGAGGGAGGTCATTTAACTTTATAATGGAATGGAATATAATTCGACTTGATGTTGCTCTCAGGTCATTGCAGAAAACTGGGCACCTTTGGGATATGACTCATCTCATCCTCCTGCTGACGTCTCCAACACATCAGAGGAATCATGTGGTGCAGGTGTTTGAAGTAAGATGAGAATAATCTCACCTAGTGGCTTCATTTACATGTGTGTGTGTGTGTGTGTGTGTGTATGGGGGTGGGAGGAAATAAAAGTGTTTATTTAAATACTGCAGTTCATGTTTTATTTTAATGTCTAGAGGGTGACATGCTGTAAGACAGGACACTCACCTGGGGCTCCACCAGCCACCCTTTAGGTCGTTTGCCAGGTCCAGGCTCATAGATGTAAGCAGAGTACACGGGAATACGCTCCTGTCTGTCGTACAGGGTGGCAAAGAAATACTGGTTCTTGTAGCACTGGCAGATCCAGGCTGGGTCCTCTGGCTCCAAAGCTTCATTTGGGGGGATCTCCCGGAAGAAAAACTGAGGACATGAACTTTCAAAGGATGCCACCACCTCGCCCTGTCCCAGCCAGAGGCAGCTCGCCCAGACCTGCAGCAGCAGCAGCAGCCACAGCATCATGGGAGGATTTCAGCTGAAGGGCTCTTGCTCCCCTGGAAAACAAATGCAGAGGGAAACTCAGCTTGGATAATCATGACCTGGAGTCATTTTTGTGCAAGTGGGACACAGCTGGCAGGGGAGGGGACTGTGAGAGACCAAGGAGGGGGTAACTTCCATCCTCTGGGATATGGAAAAATCAGCAGGGCAATAAGGGTGTGTAGGAAGATGACTGGGAATAAAAGGATTAAAGTACAGAAATTACAGGGGGAAAGAATAAAAGGATTAAAGTACAGAAATTACAGGGGGAAATATGGTTGATACTCCCTGGGTGGAAGACAGTCAGCATACCTGGACTCCCCACACACAGCACAATCTAAGGGGACTTAACAGTGGGTGCAGCAGAGCAGAGACACCATGGCCAGGCTCTGCTAAAACACTTGCAGAGGAGGGACCTCAATGGTACTTTCTAGCTGATAAGCTGCACTGCAGCTGAAATCCGAGGGAGATAAAGGAAGATGTCCTGATGCTGAATCAGCAACCGTGGTGAAATCACTCTCCTTGGACTCACACCTGTCCCTAGGCCAAGGTTATCTCAGGTACTACACTCAGATATCCACCCCCAAGGTACAACCATCTTCCACTGAGTAATGTGTATGACTAAAATCACACAGGCTCCACCTAAATGTAAAGAGTAAAAGTGAGTTAAAAATGGAGAGAAGTGAGGGAAGACTCCATCATAACTTCTGGGTTCAGCTGATGGGCTGAACCTGTCTTCTACCCCACAGGGACGCCTACTGGGTAAGAACCATACTCTGTGAGAGCTGACTGATCATCTCCAGCCAGCTTTTTCAGGGGATTAGAGCTTGTTAATATGTTGCTTTGAATTAGTGTATTGCTTTGAATATAGTTTTGCAGTCAGGTACTATCAATGGCCACCCTCGAGCCTTAACCTGCCACACAGTTTTATTAATAAAAAGTGTTATCATAGAATCATAAAATTGTAGAATATACTGAGTTGGAAGGGAGCCAGCAGGATCACTGAGCCCAATTTGTGGGACACAATCCCATTATGTGCCTGAGAGTATTGCCCAGATGCTTCTTGAGCTCTGTCAGGCTTGGTGCTGTGACCCCTGCCCTGGGGAGCCTGTTCCAGTGCCCAACCACCCTCTGGGTGAAAAAAGCTTTTCCTCATACCTCACCTAGACCTCCCCTGACTTGGCTCATGCCATTCTTTCTCCCTTCTGCTCTGAGGGTCTTTTCACAACAGAGAACTGCAGCTGGGCACAAACTCTGCTCAGCCACCTGCAATTAGTTGATGGGGCATTTGTCAGGGAAATAACAGGAAGGCTGCACTTCCTACAAGTCTCTGCCCCCATCCAGGTTCACACAGATATGCAGCTCTTCCATTCAGGTGCTTTATTGAACCCAAGATTGTCCTGGCTCTCAGCTGACAATGGGATACTGAGCTACAGACACCCTTGCTCTGACCCAAGACATCTGGTCCTTTATCTCCCTACAAGCCCCGGATCAGGAAGGTGATGACCAAAGAGCTGGTCAGAAACAGAGAACAGAAACCACAAGCTGTGGCTTTTTACAGTGCTCTGCAGAGCAGGACTGTCTCTGCCCCAAATCAAGAGAGAAGTTCCTGAAAAGTCCTTGTGCAACACCCCCTCCACGAGCTTAAAATATATCTAATATCATATCAAAAATACAGAAACCTACCGTGGGAAAGATCAGCTCAGGACTCCACTTTCAGCCCCAGAGTGAAATGCCTCTGCTGCAGCCTGAGACTGACTGTTTATATATGATCCCCCTAGAAGGAAGGTTGTAAAATTTCCCAAACAGGGTTTGGAGTAAATTTGCCCAGGAGTGCAGCCAGCACCTGTGTTTGTCCAGAGGTCTTTTGAAAGGTCATGGGTGGAGTTTAGGTACTCAATAAACTCACCCTGCCTTCTTATTCGACACTATGGTGTGAATTTTCCAGGTGACTTGGCTTGAATTTCTCTCCCAAATCGATTCTTCTGTCCTTGCCCTCCTTAACAGAAAATGTTAAAGAGCTGCACAATTCAGTGCATGCATAAACTCTCATTTCTCCATGGAAGGCAGATGTTGGAGATCAGCAACTCCAGCCTACGCTTTGTCTGATTTATTTATTCCAAAACTAAGGAAACACTTGAAATATTGGAGTCAATGTTGAGAAAGGAGCAAGAGCTTACCTTGAAGCAGTGTCAGAACAGGCAGCTGAGCCGCTCCTTGCCTCTTCTCCCTGGAGAAACAGCTGACTGATCCCTCAGGAGTCCCGCTGCAATATATACCCTGTTGTAAATCTGCCCCTTTTGATAAACAGGGAATTCCACAACAAAGAAAGTTTTGCTGTTGTTACTCAGGGGAGATTTGTTCATGCCTGCCCAGAAATGGGGGGACAGTTGCTATTTGCAATTTCCTCAGGATATTTCCCAGCTTTACTGACTTGCAGCATCACGTGTCAGGAGCAGTTAACTGGGTCTGGTGACTTCCCTCTCCATTTCTTCATTCCCCACAGGCTGCAGCTGCTGCTGCAGCAGAACCCACATGTGGCTCTGTACCCAGCAGAACATCCCTGGTGGCATTAGACAGACCAGCCTGCCTCTGAGCACACTCAGATGTTCACAGTCTGTTGTTCTGCAACCTCTCAGAATATAATTAGCATTGTCAGGCTACATATTTTTCCTTGCCTAATTGCAAATGTTTTGCAACAGCACTTAGTCATGCTAGCAGCCTAAGGCTGGGAATGCTCTGGGACACCTTAGGGCTCCTTCTACCACCTGAAACTGGTACAAGAGAGCTGGAGAGCAACTTTTGACGTGGGCTTGGAGTGACAGGATAAGGAAGAACTCCTTTAAACTGACAGATGGCAGGCTTAGATTAGGTATTAGGATTAGATTTTAGTCTACAGAACAGGAGGCTCAGGGGGGATTCATTGCACTCTCCAACTACCTGAAAGGAGGCTGTAGTGAGGTTAGGGCTGGTTCCCCAGAGAGGTTGTGGCTGTCTCATTCCTGGAAGTGTTCAAGGCCGGGTTGGATGGCACTTTGAGCAAGGTGGTCTAGTGGATGCCCACGGCAGGGTTGTTGTAACTCAGGGATCTGTAAAGTCCATTTGAAACCAAACCCTTCTTGATTCTGTGACATTGGGCAAAACTCCCTGAGCCTTTTACACCCGGGATGTGAGGCTTGTTCCCAGGGACAGGTGCTGTGGAACAGAGACACAGGAGTTCCAGGACCTGGTTCTTGTCACTCTCAGCAATGACCACCCAACGTGTTCCACGTCCTTGGGGTTCTTCTCGCAGCAGGCACTCGACCAGGTGTAGCTGGGCTTATTAACTCTGCCTTGGCAGTATTCCCAGGCATATTCCTTGGCAATATAGTTGTTCCCAGGCACAGCTCCCACCTTGACATAGGTGGTGTTACAGCCTTGGGTCTTCCTGATCATGATTTGCTTCTGTAATTTTTTCCAGGCGCTGCCGTTGGGTTTCTCATCCTGGGGCACTATGTTGGTGAGGGTGAAGGTTGCCATCCTGCTGCTGTAGTTGAGGTGATGGCCATTGGGGTTCAAATGGCCCCGGTTCAAATCCATCAGGTTCTTGTAGTCTCATGGGACAGCCTGGCTCTCGTGGAGTTTCTCTAAGCTGACATTGTAACTGTGTAAGAGGGTCGACCCTTTTTCCACAGTTTTGGGATAATTTGAACCCATCAGCTTGACAGGTAAAGAAGAGGAAATAGTGTTAGTATTGGGGATGGGAGTAATGGAGCAGGTTTCCCTGGTGCAGAAGCCTCTGAATGTCAAGAACTTTTTTTTTTTTTTTCACATCAGTGTATGAAAATGACTGAATTTGAGAGAAATTGCCCCTCATGGATGAACTAGAGCTTTTTTTAAAAAGAAGTTCAGAATCCTATTGTTCTCCATTTGACTCGAGACCTTTGTGATCCAGCCTGCAGCCTGTGGTGGAGGTATGGGTGGATACATGAAACAGTGAGCATTTTCCACTCCTAGGTTTGAAAGGTGATTTTGGTGAGACCTGTCCGCTGCCGCATCTGGTTCCCTTTCCTACCATCTTCTCCACACCCCACATCTGCCCAGTGCTCTCCCCAGATCCTCCCACCCCCATTATCTGATTCTACTTGTGGCTGCTACAGGGGCACCACACTCCTGGAACACCAGTGTTTGCCTCCTCTAACCCCAGACATGGGGAGATGTGTTGTGGTGATGGAGTTTGAGGTTACATGAGATGAATCCCAACCACCGGGTCCTTTTGCATGTCCATATAGGGGGGTGGGAATAAAATAGAAGTGTTTGGTTAAATGCTGCAGTTCATCTTTTAATGACTGGAGGGTGACATGCTGTTAGAGAGGACACTCACCTGGGGCTCAACCCACCATGTTTGAGGTCTCTTGCCAGTTCCAGGCTGGGAGATGTAAGCAGAGTACACAGGAATACACCCGTTTGTGCCATACAGGGTGGCATAGTAATAACTTTTGTTGTAGCACTGGCAGATCCAGGCTGGGTTCTAAATCTCCAGGGCTTCATTTGGGGAGTATTTCCACAGAAAAAAACTGAGGACATGAACTTCCAAAGGATGCCACCATCTCGCCGTGTCCCAGCCAGAGGCAGCTCGCCCAGACCTGCAGCAGCAGCAGCCACAGCATGGTGGGAGGATTTCAGGTGGATCCTCCAGTCTTCACCCAGTTGGGAGCCCAGAGATTCCTAGACAAAGTACTTCTGGTAAGCTTTCCATGCCATGTTTGAAAAGAAGCAGGACTTCCAGCACTTTCCTAGAGAAATTGTTCCAAAGTCCAGATCTGGCTTCTCCCCAGGGATGTTCTCCTTATTCCCACCTCAGTTTTTTTTCTATCAGATGCTACAGGCAGCTGTTCAACCTTGTGCTCAAGGCAGGGCAAGCTGGGAGGTAGCTGAGCAACTGCAGGGAAATAGAAAAACCTCTTGTGACTGCAGTACTGGAAAAGGGGAAATTTGAACCAGAGGAGAGTAGAATTT